AGTGAAAATAGCTTACTGATCTGGGTGAAAATTAATACTTCTTTTTTGTGACTGGTTAATTCTCAGCTGGATCAGTGAGCTGAGCTGACTTGCTGTGTGGCCACAAGATTGCTAGTTTTGATGGAAAGAGAGCAGCAGACCTGTGCAACAGGGAGGGAGCAGAGATGGAGACCTCAGGGTGGTGCTTTTCAGTGGCCTGTGGTCTTTCGTCTTTTCAAGCCGTTCATGAAACTGTATCATCGGTCTGTGCATACCTGAATTCATTCATTATGCTAATAGTGAATTACCTCGTAACTTACAAAAGTTGTCAAAAGTACTGTATTTATTAATTAATTTTCACTGGGCTTTTTTTGGGGGCATGCTGCAGGACAGAGGACACAGGCACTGAATTAAAACCATTTACTTCAGAGCTGACTGATTCTAAAAAGAACGTAAATAAAATGGTTATTAGATCTAACATATCTGAACCTTTAGGCTACATAGTTTAAAGGCTTCCATAAAATGTCCATTTAATGGGCTCCATCATAATATCTCCATCTGACACACCTTTCGTTCAAGGTTAGGAGTTAAGAAGGGAATGGAAAAGACTTGTGCAGGTGACGTATGGCTTAATATCTGTTTTTAAATGAAAACTTAACTTTATATTTCCAGACTTTTAAATAATCCTGTTTCTTTGCAGGGTGATGGTGGTAGGGAAATTTGTGCTCTCAGAGGGTTTTTTCCTCTTACGCAATTGACAGATATTTACAGCCTTTTTGCTTGCTTGGCTGGCAGCTTTTTGCATGGGAATTCCATATAACTTGATATTAGTCTTTTATATATAGTATTCTATAAGCTTTTTTTTTAAAAAAAAAAAAAGGGTGAATAGACCTTGCATCATCCATAACAGTTTCATAGATCTTAGTGGGAGTTTTATGTTCTTTTGCAATATTCATGTTGCTGTACCAGCTAACACTTTTTTTTTTTTTTTTCCTAGTGGCCAGATTCATTAGTGCCTTGTATCTATCTATTGTGGAAGAAATTATTGCCAGAAGTCCTTTGACAGCTGGTTCATTTTCACTTTGTTCTGTTTATATATTTTATAGAATTTGCCTGGTTGTATGTCTGACCTCCATGAAATACGATATTTTCTGTAATGGAAAGCTTTGTTTAAACTTTTATAGTCTCTTTTGCTCAGCTTCAGGATTCTGTGGTTCCGACTGTAGACTCAAGTAAAACTGATGGATATATCACCCACATTTTTAGATGGATTTTGTGTGATTTGGTTAATAGTAAATGAACAGCAGACTATAAATTAAGCGAAGTAGACATCAGCCCAGTGTTGGCATTTGATTGTCCTGCATTGTGCTTACCTCAGAACTCCCTCCTCTGGTACAGCTGTGGCAGTACTGCATCCAGATTCATTCTACGTTGCTGGAGGTGTCTGTAAGCTCAGTGGAGACAGAGGCAGATACTTGCAGGGGATGACATAGGTGGATTTAGGCCTTAGGTAGGTTCAGCTGCCTCCTGGAAGTGCCTGTCATCTGTCTTCCCTGGCAATCTAGAATTGCTAATGGAGATACCTCCTTGGGACAGGATTAATTGAGTCCCTCTGTACCCTTGTGTCAGTTTTTTGTATCCTTGTAGTGAATATTGTCCTAGGAGAATAGCATGCTGTACTGGCACATCTGTTAGTAAGCTGGCTTGTACTGACTGTGTGTTACCTGCACCTTACAGCTGCAAGACAGTTGGTAGAGAATATTATATTCAGTCAGAAAGGTCTTAATTCTCTCCCTTGTTATTTTTGTAGATGAACAAGTTTCTCAGGGCTGAGCTATGGAAACCGTTGCAGTAAACACAGTGGCAATCATCTGATGGTTTTCTTCAGGATTTAACAAAAAAGCTTCTCCTGTAATGTCCTTTTTCTCTGCTTATTTTGTGTAAGTTTATTTTGTATCCAGATGTGAATCTTAAAACTAAAAAAAAAAAGACCTAGTTTAACTCTTAGTTTTGCTAGAAAATTGCTACAGTACTGCTTTTTAAGAAGTATTTAGCTGTAAGAGATCCTTGCCCAAATACAAGGACTGATAAATGTAATGACTTTGAAGAAATCCAGTTACCTTTCCTGGCTAAAGGCCAGAACACACACAGGTTGGGTTTGGACACCTAGCTTCAAAAATCCCTTGCTTAGCATTTTCCTAGTCATGAAGTGTTTAAGTTCAGATAAATAGGGCCTTCTTTGCCCTTAAGGCCGCGTTAAAATTGCATCCAGTTTTCCAAGCAGGCATTCTCCCAATTCCCTCTTTTTGTCTGCCGACTTGTCATCTAGTAGACCCAATCTGTAACAAAAATATACTTCAGATGCCCCTGGAAATGGAGTGGGGTATTGCGGACGTTTTGAGGAAACTGAGGGTAAAATAAACTCAAAAGAAACCACTTTTGCCTTTGCCCACTCCTTCCCTTCTTCTTGTGTGTGTGTGTGCACGTGTGTGTCCCTTCTGGTAAAACATCTTCTGTGGCAGCTGTGTGGAGAATGTGATGTATGCTTTGATCCCATCAGTACAAGATACTGGGACTGAAGGCTGCAACTCAGACTGTTCATTGGGATATGATCACTGCTGTCCTCTGTGCAGTGATGAACCCCACAGAGTTTGGGGGAGGACCAAAGAACTAAGAGGGCAGAGCTGTGCTTCTCTTCACATGGGAAAGGGCTACAGGCAGCTGCGGGGCCAGGCAGTGTGTCCAAAGGGCAGGGCAGAGCAGCGCAGAGGGTGCTCTCCCAGAGCCCAGGATAGCAGGGGGCAGGCCTTAGCGATGGAGGGCGGTTATCTGGGTTGGGAAGGTAGAGGGTTGTTGAGGAAGAGATGGGACACTGTATCCCTTGGGTTTGTTAACACTGAGAGCTGTCTACTGCAGGTGGCTCCTAGGCTTAGCAGGGATGGATAAAGTCAGTGTGGTACTAGAAGGTTAGGAAAAGAACATATCAACTAAATAAAGACATGAACTTAATTAAAAACAGCTACATTAGGAAGGATTGTCTACTTAATTGTTCACGTTGTACAAGATGCAACTTAGAGCTCAGCTGAACTCATTCCCAGTGTTCATAAATCTGTGTGTGAAGAAATCAGAGCAAGTGAGCGCTGAAAGTTCCTTTGGGGTTTTTTTTGTTTTGCTTTTTGTTTTAAATTTTGAAACTCACATTTAGTATGTATATTTTAACATGTTCGTGTGAAACACATCAAAGTAAACACATGCAATGTGTTTCTTTCACTGTCATTAATCACTGTAGTGTTTTAAAAAGTAACAGAAAATACACTGATGTTAAACTGTGGTCAAGAATTGAAATATACACAGCTCTAGAAATTTGAAGTTCGCCTTTGTCAGGGCAAGTGTAGCTTGACAACTGTGTGTGTTTATGTATCAGCATATGAAGCAAGTCTGGTTAGCAAATATGGATATTTTCCATTAAAAACGCTCAACTTAGATTGAAACTTTTTAAAGCACTTTTTCAAGCCACCTGAAAACTCAGCTAAAAATTCAGGGGAAGATGATGACTGTAAATTCTGTGAACTGCTCTGAGAACTATTATCCTCCAACACTTTATCACAAAATATACTTGATTTTTAAACCCTGCTTATGTCTTTATCTGGGCAATTTCTGTTTGTGACACAACTGAATAACCAGAGGTGGATGTGAAAAATGAGGGTTGTTTTGTCAGTGAACAGCCTGTGAGAAGTCCACCTGCCCTTTCCAGATGGGTTGGGGATAGGCTCTCAGCCAGAGTGGAAGACAGCTATTTTTGGTTGTACTTGAGGTTCCTACTTCCCTGTTTTCCATAAAAAAGAACTGTGCTGTCTTCCTCTCCGCAAACCTCCTGGATGCTGCTGAAAGGGGAAGGACGATGTGACACTTCTGTTCCTCCCTTGTGAATAGCTGTGAGCCCGCCTCTGCTGCTCCTCTCTGCTTTCCTCAGCAGCACCATAATGCGAGCGTCAGCCTGATCCCTCTCAGTCCATTCTCTGGGGTCTGGATACTGGTTATGTATGTGAAATGCTTTAGTGATTTTCCTTCCTCTGATGAATGCCTATATGAAAGTAATTGAGACAGAGCTGGCAGTGTGCAAGCTAAGAAAGATGATGCTGTCATGGTGCTCTTCACTCAGATGTGGGAAGTTGTTTTCATAAATATAAGTTAGATTTTTCCTACAAAGAGAACTTGGGTAGAATATAATTAACTGGGGATCCTTATATGTGTTTTTTCAGACTTGAATCAGCATCCTTATGGGAGCTGTTTGCTTTCTATTTTTTTTTTTTATTTCACAGAGAAATTGTACTTTTGTGGCTCTGCTTTTTGTCTTTTTTTGCTTAAAGGTGCAGAAAAGAGAACAACTGTCAGAGGCTTAAGCCAGAGGTGCTGTATTCTTTCAGATTATGGGGAATTAAATGCACTCTTTATTTTTCAAGATTATACGTAAGAGATAAACAAGGGTGCATGTTTTTCGTGGAAGTAATGACCACTCAGACAATTCCTATCCCATATCCCTGCACAATCTGACTTCCTGAAAGCTTTAGAGGACCACTGTTTCTTCCCACAAATATTTTACCTTTTGCACATTTAACTTTCTAATGTCCACACAGTGCTTGGCCTGACCAAAGCATTCTCAGTGTCTTTGTGACTAATCAGGGCAACATATCAGTTCATCTCACTTAACTGAGAAGTCAGACTTCGGAGCTCTCTTGCCTGAGGCTCTCTAGGGGGAAGTGGTTTTCAAAATCTAAATCATCCCCAGGTGCATGTCTTTCCTGTGGCAGATAGAGAGTGCCAGGAAGTCTGGAATCATAATTTAGGTGCCTTGATCAGGTAGGGTGATTTTGGGCTGAGACATATAACATTTAAGCAGAAAATACATGAGTTTTAAAAAAGTGCCAATCCAATTAATTCTGAATGTCTTGGAAAAGCATGGCCGAGCCTGAAATACTTCTCAGTTTACAAGTTCGTAACTTTTTCCTCTCCCCCTACAGAGGCTGCTACTGATCGCCCTAGGACACCTGACAGCGAACCTTTGTTTACAAAACTGCGCAACCCAAGCACAGGCAAGTTTTGGAATTGTGACATGAGCCTGTTAATGTTCTGGTTGATTCCCTCCACCACCAAATGATTCATATTTTTCAAGCTGAAATGTTTCCACCACCAAATGATTCATATTTTTCAAGCTGAAAACTCCCTTACCCAAGTCTTACGTGCAAAGATACTGCTGGTGATGCTGGATAGTTAATGCTGTGCAAACATTTAAGATTTCTTTTATAATTCTAATTAGTTGAACTGTTTATTCATCAGGAATATTGGCAGCACAAAAAAGAGGTGTAATTTAAGTTCTGTTTTTCAGTGCTTTAGTTTTGGGGAGCTTACAGTGTTGGGTGTTGAGCCTGGACTTATTTTTAATCCAAATTTAGGCTTTATAGCATTCATCTTATGCTATAAAATAAATAGCCAGAGTTAGAAGTGATTCAGTTATGTTTACCAAGTTTTTTGAGTATTTTCATTTTAAAATCTAATTTTCATCTTTCCCTGGTCCAAATGGTGGTGTCTCTTTTCTTGTTAATAGATGATGAGGCACTTTGAATTCAACATACATTGGAAAGACCAGCAAATGCAAGCAATACAATGATACCACCATCCCACAGTTACTTTCTTCTAGTCAGATTGTTGGTTTTGTCAAGGTTTTGTTATTATTATATGAGTAATGTGATATTTGGAATATGAGACACTACAACAGAAACTTGCAGTAAGCCTTTGTTAGAGTTAACATATTTTCTTTGAAAAACACATTTCATGCTGGCTTTTTTTCTTTTCAGAAGCCCGTTTGTTTTCTGTATATCTAAGTTGTATCTTTTTGTTTTGAAATTCACTGCTCATTTATATATGTCTGTAACTAAAGTCTTCAGGTACATTTTAATGTCACAATATAGTAACTGCTACTTGTTCTTGAAAGGAAAATAATTCAAAACAATAGATACAGAGTGTGAAATCACTTACTTGTCTTGATAACTTGGTTTTTAATTGCGCAGATTTGCAGTGGGAATGTATAGCCAGGGAAGTTTTCCACCTGCTGCATTATATTTGCTTTCTAATTTGTTATGTTTTCAAAAGCGTAGATACTGATTTGCTTTTCTCTGTGGAAGAAGAGTCCTGTTTACCTTGTAGAATCAGAGATCTTGGGAAAGGTTTCTGGGGAAAACCTAAAGTACGGTGATTGCCTGGGTGTGTTCCTTTAGAATTTACAGGAGCTTATTTATAGCCTTGCATAAACTTTCAGTTATGTAGCCTATTATAAGTATCAGGTCTGAAAATGGAAGAACTGAGAACACCCTATTAATGTATTTTCCTTACGTTTGGGTCTAAGAGATGAATTGTTGATGCCAGATATTGTATAAATATGCACTGAAGGACTCGGCATGCTATAGAATTCATGCTCGCCACTTTATTAAATAAAAGTATGCATGGTCTTTTTTATAGACAGGTAAAAAGGACAAAATAAAATTTCTATCCCTGACAAAGACTATAAACTAGGGTTCAGCCTGCAATTCAGAAGTACCACAAGAAGCATTTTTCAAAGTGCTGAACTGAAAGAAGGGAAATAATCATACCACGAGACTTAAGCAACTAATCGAAGTGGTAAAGTTATGAGCAAAGCTGCCTAAGTTCTCTCTCCATGCCGTAGAGTTTCTGTCTAATGTCACTGTTGGGAGCCTGTGATGACTGTCCTTTTAACATAAGCAAATAAATTAAGGAGCTGCAGTTAGGCAATGGGAATGGACCCTTTCCCGAGATTTTGTAGCTGACCACCGCCTTTGGCTAGCGTGCTCACTGGTAGGAGTCTTAAGTTGTTCGGTGAGCACTTCTGTGAGTACTTTGATGTCTGGTGCTGATCAAACTGTGGTGTAGACCCTTGTTGAGAAGCACATGGTAATGATTGAAACCTCTGCTCCCCCTTATATCTACTCTTCACTCCCCTCCTCCCTTACCCAAAACAAAAATTTTCAGAGAACTGAAACTATATCCTTAGGTGAAGTTAAACATCTGGTCAGCCTTTTGGATAAAGGGGGAAAAATGCATTATCAATCATTTTTGGGAAGATGTGTGTCTGCCCATTTTAGCTGACCTCCCTCCGCACCTAGGGATCTCCGCAGACCGAGTACAGCAGTGCTGACATCAGCTTGCAGAGGCTTACACAGAGTCTTTTTTGAGCCAGCCCATGATCTGCAAGTCAGTGCAGCTTTGTGACTTATGTGTTTGGAGCAGGACTGCCATGTTGTAGTTGATCTTGTCTCTTGAAGATGGATTGATAACCGAGATAGGACCAGTCCAGCTGACAGACTCGGCTGACCAAATTTCAGTGGCCCTTTCTGTAGTTCTGGCAACTTCTGGGTTTAAATATGGAAAATGCCAATCCTGTTTGCAACATGTTCATCACCCTTTCATTATAACCCAGAACCAGTGTGAAATGGCAGAGCTGTGCTATGGTGCAGCCTAAAATAAAGCTTTCCTTTTCCTTTCCAAACTATCAAGATCCTGATGGGCACTTCAAAGCAACTTCTTTTAGCTTCCTTGTTCACCTTATTTATCTACCCGTACTGAGTCATCGGCAGTCCATTCTGATGCACACAAAAAAATAATTTCAAATTGTCACTTGAAGGTTTGAGACTTTTCTTCCTCTAACCCAGCATCTGATATCTCAGAGACAAACGTGATGGAAGGAGAGGGAATTTTCTTGTTTTCCACCGTCCTCCTTCAGTACAGAAAAAAGCTGATTTCTTGAGTGATTTTGATTTGGATTTTATCAAAGGCTTTGTGTTGTAAGATGAACTGTTCACACATTTATTGATTCAAATTCAGTTTGGTTTATAGAACTGGTAACTGAACATCTGTATATAATAGTTTTCTTTGTCTGAGCTTTCTTTGTAGTGAGTTTATGTAGAATGTGTGTATGCTTGTGTGTCTGTATGTATATAAGGCACATTCTTCAGATGTATTGGGTATTCTTTTGATTTTTGTGAAAGCTTACAAACACAAAACAGATTTCTTTTCAACAGGGGAGGCAACCCTTTACTTATTCAATAGTGGTGCACAGCAGCTGTTTGAAGTAAAAGCGTTTCATGAGGAATATCGTTCCTGGTTTGTAGGTCAGACTGTTCAACAAGGTGAGTAATAGAGGTATCCTTCCCCCAACTGTAACTAATGCTTATGCACAGGCCTTCCCTCTCTTTTCTAGTAAATTTACAGGTGTTTTTCCTAGTTGTTTGAGGCATGCTGCATCACATCCCCACCTTCTGACGCACTCATTTGCCATCTGGATTTAACCAGGGCTGGGGGCTTTGTGGTCTGTCTTTAAAAGGCTGCCTTTGGCAGCCTCAATTAGACAGATGTTCATTTGTCTTTGAGGAAGGGAGGCGGGGGAAGTCATTCAATTGTATTTAAACTGAAGTGCTATAAAATACTTAGCTTGCCTTGTCAATCAGACCAGCAAGTCCTCACTGTAAGTAAAATATGTGTTATCCTACGGGAGGGAAAAAGCTAAGCAGCGCAGTGTGTTAGAGCTCCAAGCATTGGAATCTATGATCTTGCTTTCTTTTAATTACCTCTGTAGTCCCCTGTGTTGAGTGCTGGGATCTGAGGATAGGCCGACTCTCTGAAGGTGCCACGTCACTTTTTGTCTGAAGTGAGCTCGTCTATACCATCCCAGTCATTCTCTGATCCTAGCTCACCTTTCTGAAAATGAGGAGGAAAAAACGTGACTGCTTGTGACAGCTTTAACAATCCTTTATCAGTAAGGATGTCATTGAGTAGTGTTTCTCTGCCAGCATGTCCATAGACCAAGCAGTTAAGTATTAATTCAGGAGATGAAGGTATATTTATTTTGTCCTTTTTAACTAGAAAAAAAAGACCATTTATAGTAATAAATAAAAGCAACCCCACCAGACATATGCCTTCTTTAATGGCAATATCCCAAAGTGTGTGTTAACTTTTAAACATCCCCTGCAGGTGCATATAGCAATACAAGTGGTAAGTCTGTGAGCTTTTCCTTGCTCCATCTGGGGGTGAGCCAAAAGACTGGGTCTGCTCCCTGCTCGCAATTATGTCCGCATTTTTTTCTCCCCCTCCCATTCTAACCTCTATGTTGGCCCTTGGGAAAAAGTTGCCTTAAGGAATCATCACCTCAGGTTTCTTTAAAAGATACAGGGGAGAAACTTGTTCCTGAATGTTAGAGCTGCTGCATCTCTGAAATGGCCAGGGGAAGAACAACACAAAAAAAGCAAGTTTGCAGTTAAAGCAAATTATCTTGTTATCTGCAGTGAAGGGCAGAGGTCTTTATACACCTATAGTGAGTCTGAACTCTTTAGAACAAATAAATATACCTCTTCCTGGAGGTACAGTGGTTTTAAAGCATTTAAATGGAAGCATTGAGAAAGTGGCTAGTGGGGTTTTTTTCCCTCCTGTTTTTTTATCAAAGCTTTCATGTTTCTAAGTAGTGCTGATGCTTGCTTTGCCTTATGCAATGCATCATGTTAGTAATACAGATGTTATTGTCCAAAACACGTTCTTCCCCCCCCATCTTTTGTTGGGTTTAGGGCCATCACAGTAGGATTTCCTTTTCTTCAATTATCTTAATCATGTGATTTAAAACAAACAAAAAAACACATTTATTTGCTTTTGGTTTGCTAATTAATGTCAATTTGTCATCAATTACTGAGTCTCATTAGTGAACTTCTTTGATGTTACATTGTTTCCAAGTATCTACAATTATGCAAAAAGCCTGACTAAGCCATTGCCCTGGAATGAGCTCCAGGTGGGCAGAGGTATCTGTTTCAGTGGGAAACCAAGTTTTCCTTTGTGCATAACTTTGAATACAACATACTGAGCTGTATTTTCTGATCTATTCAAGTTTATTTTGTTCTATTAGGAATCTGCATGCAAATTCTCCCCTTCCAGATAAGAGGCAGCTGTAACTTAAATAGCTCTTGAAATTCTTTTTTGCCCTGCCTACCTCTTCCGCCAGCACAGTGTTGCCAGTGTTTGAGGTGGAGTATACTGAATATATCTGATAGCCCAAAACAAGTTTCTGTTACACCAAAGTCTGCCGATAGAGGGCAGCTGCAATTTTGTTGTTTTTAATATAGTCTAGGAAAAGGCAAAACTACGAGTGCTTGAAGCCAGCAGACCTGCGGTGGAGCTTGTGCTTTGGTTTGGCAGGGTTGAGAATTGAGTTCTCTCTGCATTTATCTATAATATAAAATCACATATATATTTAAATATAATATAAAATCACAAATACTATTTTTCTGGCCAATTTATTCAAATATTGGGATACTTATTAAAAAAAAAAAAAATTCTCATCTTCTTGCCCACACTCCTGAAAAACATCTTTAAAAAAAAAAAAATCAATATATTATGCCTCTTGTTACTAAGCTTACTTTTACATATTTGTCACTTAGATGGGCGCCTGCTGTTTGTTACACCGATGGACCCATTATTTCTGATTCTTTACTACCTCATAAAGGCAGACAAGGAGGTGAGCCTGCTTTATTTTTTCACTGGAATTCTCAGGAGAAAACGTTCTTTCCAATTTCATTTTCTGCAGAAGTTATGTTAATTTTATAAAGAGGGGCTTCCATAATAATGGAAATTTAATTTGCATTTAAAGCAGAGATATCCACCCTAGAAGTATTTTTGTTTGCATCAAGTTTTTTTTTGTCAGTAAAGCATATCCCAGGAGTCAGCTTGCGATCAGAGTCAAACTCTAATCACCTCCTTTTTAAGAGAATCAACGAATCCCTTTTGCCCTTTTTTGAGAGCCTATCCCAGAACTATTGAATTTAAAATGATGAGATGTCATCAGAGTAAAACAAACTAATGCCCTTTCTGAGGCATCAGTAGATGAATCATTTTGGGAAAGAAGGGAAGAAGAAAGAAGATTTTGGATGCTATGGGGGAGGAAGAAGGAATGTTTCTGTGGCAGTTTGAACTTGAAAGGAAACATTGCCTTTTTAGAAGCAGTATTTGTAGAGATGCTGTATCATAGACAGCAACAGAATGATCAGACAGTATCTGAAAGTTGGATAATTAATAAATGGCTTAATTGATTTATTGTGGGTGTGGCAAAACCTCTTTTAAATTTCTAAAGTGTATCAAAAGGTGTAGGCAGTTACTGATATGTTATTTGTAATCTGCCTGTGGAAAAAAGGGCGTAGAATAAATAGTGTTGATCTTTGTTTTTTGTTTCATCGAGGCAATAATTTCACTTTATGTGTCCTAAGAGTTTTTGCTCTAAGGCCATTTCCTATAAGGTTGCTTGCTATTTTCTGCCTTAGATTGCAAGTGGAGAGTGCAGGAGAACAGTTTTTGTATGGTGAAGAAATAAAGTCCTACTGCACTTTTGTAATAGGAACCTATTGCTCTGTAATTATTTTTAAATTATTTATGGTATAGGATGTGCAAACTTATTCTGTATTTCTGTGGCCTGTCAGAAGAAGTCATTTCTCAAGGAATAGTTTAGCTCATTCTCTAGGCACTGTGCTCTGTTTGAATTCAGCATCCCTTTGAAAGCTTTATACCAAACTTAAATTAGGGAAACAGTAAATCTCCCCTGTCTATGTTGTAGAATGTTGAGGTGGCCTGAGTAAAAGACAGCTACTGCTGCTGTTTCTGTGCATGGGAAGAGTCTTGTACTGCCCTTTACTTTCTCAGCACATTGTTTTCTAGGATTTCTGTTTTCTAGACCAGGCATGATGCCTGATGAATGGATAGAGCTGTTCTGGGTCCTAAATCAGGGCGAATGAATTCCTGCAGTGCCTTGCCTAAGTTAGTGTATTCTTCAGTGAAGGGAAGTCTTGAGGATTGTGTGGCAGATACCTCGTGCAAGGCCAGCTTGAATGCAGCACAGTCACTTCTGGCTTGATCTAATGAGTATCAAGGTGACCACTGGGTATCTTAGGACCATCCTTTGCACCATCCTTTGGTTTTGATAGTGTGATGCAGGATTGCTTAATGTGTCTTCTGAGCAGAGCCATCTCCTATCCAGCAGGCTTTCTTGGCTTAGGCTCTGTGCCCCTGCACAGTGTAAAGGTGGCTGTCTTGCTTTGGGACACAAGCAGCTTTATGCAGGTAAGTTATCTATAGGAAGCAGTTCATTGCAGGTTTATCTCTGCATCTCATAACCTTCTTTTTGCCATTATTATTGTGCCTTTTCATTTTCAGGAGAAAAAAAACTTTAAATCTTTTCTGGGTTTTGTTTATTTGTTTGTTTGGTTTTGTTGGATTTTTTTTTTTTGCTTGTTTTTGCTTGTGATTTAACAATGGATGGTGACTTTTAATAAGCTTCTGACTGTCTAGCAAGAGGATTAACTAATAATGAAAGCAGTATAACCAAGTGGGTTTTTTTCATGCTGACCGGTGTAATGACTTCAGCTTTGTCTTCTGAGACCAGGCGCTCTGTAAGGATGGAGAGCTCACTGGGTCTTTGTACTGATGCGCTAAAGAATCTTTCCAAAGGGAAGGCTGCCAGTTGTGCCAAACCGTGCTGAATGATTATACATTGTTTGGCAACAGCAAAATTTGTTTGATGGTTCTGTCATGTGTGGGGCTATTTAAGTTGTGCCAAAATCACTTTATATACATACTCCGGCCAAACTGGAATTGACTTTGCAGAGGTGAAAGGTTAATACTGTGTTCCAGAAGCTGCCCTGCTCCTTAGAGATTTATTTTTATGGAAGGAAAAGCAAAATTTGAATGGAAGTTATGACACTGGGTTTAATCCAACAGGTTTTGGTCTAAAACACTATTGGCACGCACTGACTACTGTGTCTTATGTCATCTTCCAAAAAATCCCACTGCACTTCACATTAGTTTCTCCCCATGTTGTTTTGAATTTGGTCTTTTAAGTGCAGTAATTGAAGAGTTCAGCATTTTGCAGGTATTTACTGGTTTGAAGTAAATATTTATAGCTTGCTTAGTAATCAGTTTCTGAATGTGTCAGGTGTTACCGTTCAAAATATGATCTTCTTTAAATCCTCTATTTTACAGCTATGGTCATTGCATGCATATAATTTCTAGATATGTTTAGTGTGTATATCTGTTTTAGCATTGCAATAATGCTTTTATAATCCCTTTGGTGTATTTTCAGCAGCAAGGAAAGTTCCAGCCACTCGATCAAGTTGTGCTAGACTCAGACTACCCTAACTGCCTATTGCTGCTGAAGTGTGCGGATGTTAAACAGTACATACACCATGTAACAGAAGAAAAAGGTGAAAAAAGGGGGCTGGAGGGGGCAAAAAAAAAGACTGGATTTGTTAGTGTCACTTCGTTACAAGATAGATTTAAGTATTGTTTTTTGCTTTGCTACCCAAAGTTCTGGACAAAGCTGTACTTTAAAAACAGAAGTTTAGGCTTAGAAGTCATCCCTGCAGTATTGTGAGTAGTAGCGTGTGGATCTTGGATTATCTGCTGTAACTCTAAAATACTTGTGCAGTCTTGTTAGGTGTCATAAAAATGATAAGCTGGTCAGAGCTGTCTTACTGACATTGCTGTATGTGTTGTGAACTTTCTTTGCCTTTTGATGAAAGTTTTACAGCTCTCTAGAATTTTTATTTAGTGTAGGATGGTCTGGTGTGGAAGAAGTTACCCATTGTCCATTTGGCCTTTTTTCTCCCTTTGTTGCAAAATATTCAAACAATAAGCAGGGAAAAGCTGGAGAAGAGAGAACATGCTCCTGCAAAAGGAGAGCACAAATTTTTTAACTTTGCATGATTTAGTGTTGTGGGTTTAACTTTAAAGACTTAATTTTTTTAAAAACAGAAACTTGATTGGGATGCGTAAGTGTATGAGAGAGAAAACGTAGATGGAAAAAATTAGCAAAGTATCAATTCTGTACATAATTTCCTCAGCCTTTGCCCAGAATTCCCGTTGGTATGGGGGCTTTTATTTTATTTGAGGACGATATATGCTTTCTAGGGAAGGGGAAGGAACATCACATAATTTCTGCAGCTTGGCGGACTTGCAAAAGATGCAAGACTTCAGTTTTTATACTCGGTCCTTTAAAGAACATTCTCCTTATGCTTGCTGACTTCCTGATAGTGAGTGGAGATTTACCTACACACAGATGGAGATCTACAGGAGGAGGTACAGGAGTCTGAGAACATGCAATCTACCACCAAGTGCAAAACAGCTAAGCTGTCTGACCCTTATGCATGTAGAGCTCCTCCAAGGAGTTGAGGTGCACAGATTAAAAGCCAGAAATACTAGGAATTTGCTTTCATGAAGCACTCTGGCCTTGTTGTTGATATAGATAAGAAGAAATATTTAGGTCATCTACAGATAATTGGGAAGTGGCTAAGGAAAGGTGATGGAAGAATGAAAACCCAGCTGAGAAGTAAAACACCAAACCTCTTTATTGCTGTGCAGAACATCAAGTGTGGGGGGGCTGTGAGTTTTTCCTGAAAGATTTAGATGAACAAGTTTGAGTATTTCCTGTATGATATTGTGCATATGCAGTAATGTAGGGCAGTTTCTTCCCCCAGAAAATCAATTTAAACTTTAGGATATGACACGTTTCCATTGAAATTGATCACTTTAACAAGAGAGCAGGAAATCCGGGCAGCAGGACTTGGTACAGTCTTATGGGAACTGAGGCAGTTGGAATTATGTGATTTTGTGACACTCTTGGATTTCTGAAAGAACCTTTGGAAAATATTTAGTCACATTCAGTGTCATTGGGAGCAGGCAACCTTTTTCTTTGGGTGAGTTCTGACTTTTGAGAAGGCTTCTTTAAGACAGGTGCATCTGAACTGCAAAACCACTTTTGCCTTCCCATGAAGGGATAAGTACTTCCAGTAAAAACTATTATTAAGCTTTTAGACAATTGCCCCACAACTTGTCTCACACTGGCTAAGGAGCTAGGGATGAGAGAAGGGGTACTAAACTTCTGTGCACCCATCTGAGAAAGTGAAAAATCATGCCAGATCCTCTTGGATGTCAAACTAAGAAGTCTGAATGTAGGACAAGTTCTGGATTATTCTTCTGAAAGGGCACTTCCTCCAAACAACAGTGCTGCCTTGGGGCAGTATTTATGTTCCCTTCTTAACAGCAAAATAAAAATTAAAACCAAAAAGTATTTGCTATAGACAGGGTCTTATATCTTGGTCTAACGTCTACATCCATTCTGAATTTGTATTTGCAGTTGTTATCCATCAGAGCATCCTCTGATAAGCTGTATTCTGTTAGACAGTAGTTAAGATGCTTTACTGCTTGTTTTTTTACATTGATGTTTTTAATAATGTATTATGTACATCTATGAGTTCGTGTCATTTTGCCAGCAAATGATATTAACTGTTAAAGAAATTATGTTCATTTCCTGGTTTTTGTTTTGAAATGTAAGGTAAAAATTGCTTTTGTCATTAAAGCTATACACACATGCACACACCAGTTGTGTATGATGTTCTTAGATGGCCCTAGCCATGTACCTGCATGTACATGGTCCTTCTTTTCTTGTTCAGATTTGGGTTGAAAGTAACAGTAGGACTTGTTCTTAGGATTTCTTTCTTTTTTTAGAACACCAAGCATATTGTTATGCTACAAACATATTGGCGCTTGCTTGCCTGTCAGGCACAGATCACCTTTCTGTTCAATCCACTTCTATGTGTTTCATATTCTCATGTCTTTTATTGCCTGTAAAAAATACCAGTGTTATGACTAAGGTACTCTTTTCTAGCTCTAAGACCTTTTGTCCACTTTGTGGCCTTTCTCATTTAAGGAGTAGGGCTTTAGGGCAAGAAGTATCTGTTGTGTTGAGTCTTCTGCAGCACTGATCTGTTTGGCAGAACCTAACAACATAATTATTTCACTCTTAGTTTAATCTTAAGGCATTTAACATCTGTCTAACAAATTCTTACCCTAGAGCACTCACAGTTTACACTTACTGAGTTAGCAGAAAGTCCACCTTCCCTGGCCTCAGTGTTGAAGGACACTGAAAATTCATTTACTGGATTAAATTCCTGGTTACCTGCTTTAGTAGTTGGGGAAAGGGTGTGTTACAGCTCACTAAATCTGGGTGAGGCAGGTTGTTCGCTAATAAGTTCAAACATCGGATAGAAAGTACAATAGAGAAGCTTGAAGGAAGAGTTATGAATTCCAGTTCTAGAGTGTTACTCTTTGTTTCATTTTGCAAGGCAAAAACTGCACTGTGATCTTGTCTGATGTGATTAACATGAAGAGCCAAGAAAACTTACCTGATTAGAATAACTAAATAATATTGCCAAGTTTGTATTCCCAGAAGGTAGGAAAAAAGGGGCCATATGAGTTTCAGAGTTATGGAAAACACTGAGAAAAGGGATGTTAAAATGTGCTTTAGGCAGTTTGCTCAACAATACATCAGGGAAACTTCCAAGACTACATAGCGATTACCCGATCGCTGAACATATTATTTAATTGTAGAACCACTTATATTCCATCTGTATTTCTCAAACCCAATCTTTCCAGATGTCTCAGACCAGTTTTATAGGCACCAGACACATTAGGGAACAAAAGGCTTTCCAATATATACTCATATTATCAAACATAGTCGCTAACTCTCACCAATATCAAATGTGCATCACATGTTAAATCCACGTTCCAATATTGAATCCTTTTGTCAGCAGTTTGTGACTTTCATAACTCACTTTAATTCTTCAGAGGTCTCAAATATTGTCAGTTTCTAGAGTTTAATAGTCAAAACTGTCAAGCACACAAAATATTTTCAAACAAAGTGATCTCTGAAGGGTTCAGTGTAATTATTTTTCACATGTTTTAATGAAAATGGCTTCACAGTTCTACGTTTCCTTTCCCTAACTGAGTCACTCTGAATCGTGCTGTTGTGGGGGAGTCTGCCTAGGAATCTGGACTAGAATTACTTTTCAGCATGAGTTGGGGGATGGTGGCCAGAGGATGTCCCTTCCTCGAACTTTCTTAGATAAGAGAGGAATCCACAAATTGTACTTACTGTACTTGGACCCAAACCATGTTAGCTCTTTGAGAAGCAGGTTCAAGTATCCAGAGTGTCTCCCCCATTTTCTACTTCTTTCAGAGCCATGTAGAAGCTTTTAAGTCCTAAAGGCTGCATCCAGCAACGTCACAGCTAATTACTTTACCTGCAACTCATCAACTTCATGCAGCAAAGTGTACGTTAGTGGGTTTTTTTCCTTTTTGCTCCACAGAATGTTTGCATTTTACTCTTTTACAACTGTGGAGATAGATTTAAACTCTATCCTATAAACAGCTTTCCTCGACCTCTGCATACCCCCTACCATGCATACACGAAGAGCACATAATCGTTAGCTATTCGTATGCAATTTGAAAGAGCCAAGATAAACCCCGAAAAAGGAAATGCTGAAGGAATCATAAATAATAAGTTGTTGTTTGCAAGGAGAGAAGGAAACTCCATGAACTGAGTATTGGAATATGATACTGGATCATCAGTAAATGACATGAAACAGATGTAGGTGTTTATGGGAATGGTATACAGGAGATTAAAACTTACTGAAATACCTGTTAAAGAAGAAGGCTAAAACACAGTGGGCTCTAAAGTCTGTGAAATCTTACTAGGCATTTTGTTCCGTTTCCAAGATGTACCTTTCTGTGAATTAATACTGAATTTTTATACTGAGATTTCCGTGACCTTGGTAATTTTCTCTCTCCTTTGCCTCAGCATCGTGAACTCGCCTATCTCCAGATAACTGATCACATGTGAATAGCAAGTGTTCGTGATACCTTAGTTATCACAGGGGGAAACACTTTCTGAAATTCTTCTATCGTTGAGTGAATTTATGTTGCTTAACATGTACTTCCTCCCACAGGGAGTGTGTTTCTCTGTTTTGGATTCTGTGTTTTCTTTTGACACTATATTAAACTACATAAAAAGGGGATAGATGTAAAACTTTTGCTTTAGTCTGTGAAGCGAAGAGGGGAGAACTGATAGGGAAAGGGTTTATTGAAAGAGTGGATGGTTTGTCTTGATTACCCAGCTCTCTGTCCTATCCCCTTACTAGGTACTGGAATTCAATAAGTAGACATTTAAGATACTAGTTTGTTGGATTTTTTTTAAAAAAAAGGGAAAAAGCAGTAGTGGAATCAACATTTTGTGTTGTGAACTATGTAGTTAAAATGACCAGTCTGGGGACACAGGGCAGTGAAGGTTTGGCAAACTACAAGGGCTTGATCAGTCTCTTAGTGAATTCAGGCAGCCCAAGATTACACATAAACAAATAAAATATGTGCTTTGCTGGATTAGGTCCTAATTAAAGAATTGTGAAGTTGTTCAGACTTGTGCATATCAGCTCAGTCTGTTTATTTTTCCACATTTCCAATATTTTTGGAACTTATTGCCCTGATATCAAACATGTGCAAGCTGCAAATTAACTTTCATGCTGTATCTACAACTTCAAAGATTTTAAATAAATTGAAAATGCAATCCAAGCCAGTCATGACTTTCTTCCCCTTACTTGTTTTTTCTCAGAGATTGGCAGTCAGAAATTCCACAAATACAGCCAAGAGAAGACACTGAAGTGGTTAAAGAAAAAGGTATTTTGTTTCTGTTTTGCTTTCAAAATTGTTTTATGTTTAAAGTGAAAATGCTTATTAGCTTGTCCATATCTGCATTTGGGCCAAGTGGTGAGCCTCAGTTCAAGGTACGTGTTCTGTTCAAGAAGGTCAGACATCACAGTAAAGTTGTTGCGCTTGAGAATGTGATGTGGTATTAGAGAAAGAACAAGTTTGTTACATTTCTCTTTCTGATGGGGCTGGCATGAAAGGGGTTCATGGAGTGTGGGGAAACAGAAGAAGCAGCTGAAGTTCAGCTTGTTGCTGTGTTCTATAGGCTTTGTGTAAGGGGAGGGGCTTGTCTTTTGCTTCATCCAGTTCACAGGTGGGCTAGCGGAGAGCGTTGACTGTTGCAGCTTTTAAATTCTGCCATGCTTTAGAGCTGGGCAGAAGTGCCTTGGTTTTGTGCTGCAAATGGGTTTCCCTGTGAAGTGTTGGCAATGTCTCAGAATGGTCCTGGTATGGTTGCTGCTCTCCTGATCCAATCACACTGTTCAAGAGGTCTGTACAGTATGCAGAAAGTAAACTAGTGTTATAGCTAAGCTTGAAGTGGTCTGGTTTTGGTATAAAGAAGGCGAATCTCATTTTACACACCCACATTGGCCCCTACTATGATGACACTTTGTAGAAAAAAATTGTGTGCATCATGTGATACAAGGAAACCTTGTCATTTAAAATAGTCAACGCAAGCACAAAATCTGGTCTGCTTTCTGCAGTGAGGAGGCGTGGGGATATCTGTTTTCCAATGGATACCTGAATATTTACATTTGAACAGGTACCTGTTTGTGTTGTTGAAATTGTATTCTTCTGCCAGTTATCTCTGCTACATCCAGTATAGCGCTGCCCTTTGAAGTCCTTAATCTTTGATTTCCATCAGCACTGCCTTTGCAGTCCAGCTGAGCTCAGGCATTCTCTGTTCTCCGAGCAGGTGCATTTCTCACCTGTGTAATCATGGCTGTTGCATCTGAGTAGCTTAGTTCATCTTAGGGTGCTGCAAAACTGGTGCTCTGTTGCCAAGGCAACATGTTCAAAGACATGCTAGTTTCTTTGGGTTTTTGAGCTCATATGCTAGTCATTACAAATGTGTATTAAATTTCACCACAGTCCATAACTTGAGTATTTTATATGCTTGAAACAAAATTACAAGAGCTTTGTCACTGCATTAACATGTGCATAACAACACTGATACAGACATTTCGTTCTGTGGTTTCCTATAGGTCAATCAAACAGTGAAAGCACTTAAAAGCAACAATGTCACTGTAGGTGAAAGGGTACACGCAGCTACATATATCAGCTGTAAACAGATCACAGATACTAAAGAAGGTAAGGAAACTGAACATTGTAATGAATGACTTTTTTGTGAAATCGCATATGTGGAGATAAAATACGTGATTAGAATCTAAAAGATATTGAAATCGGCCTTTGCAGTAAATTTATTCCTTATACAGAAAATCCCATATATGTTGAGACTGGTTGCCTTGACTTCTCTGAGTTCTTTGATATCCTCATTAGATGACATTGTAATTAACAGTAGGTTTCAGATAGGGTTCTTTTAGCTTCTCCTTAGTTCAGAAAGACGTTTTTCTCAGTGAAATATATGCTGAAGTGCTTTGCTGAACTGAGACTATCTTGGACAATAGGACACATGCTTATAATATATGTGAGTATCCACCCAATTAAGTGTTTCTGCATTAGAACAGACTTCTTTTTTATTATTGTTTTTATTAGCATGCAAATGCTTTTCATAGAATTCTCCAAAAAGGAAAGGAATCTGAGGGAGTCATAGTCACAGAGTAAAAGCTTCTGGTCTAAACATTACTTTAGGTGACAAATGTGTAGAATACACAAGTATGTGCTTATTAAGGGCAAAAACTTTAATAATATGTGTATTAAATTGCCCTGAAGTTGACAGTCCTGCTACCAAAAAGTCTGTGGTGATCCTGTTTGCTTCTAGTCACCTTTTCCCTGGGGAGGGCAATGTCCTGCATGTTACTGGGATATGAAGTTGTGTAAAGAAACCTGAAAATGGATGCTGAATAAATTCTTTGAATGTTACTGAAAATGAAGAACAGTTTAGAACAAGACGAACAAAAGCAAATTGTTTCTTATTACATTCGTAAGTCTGCATGCTGTTGAAAAATAAAGAGAAACAAAGCAACTTGCTGACGAAGTAGAAAATGAGTTACCAAGTAGTGATATCAAAGGAAACAACATAAATGAGATTTAAGAGGCAACTAGACAGTTTTATAGAGCAGAGATTGTAATATATGTTTTTTAAAAAGAGGCAAGGCTGCAAAACTTGTGACTTTAACTTTACAGTAGCTTTTCATCCTTTTCCCCACCCCCACTTTTTTAAAGAAGGGGAAAATTGTTCTGACACAACCATTTTGACTATGCTTAAATGCTTTCTTTCTGAAATTTCTAATTAAATAGCTCATCTGCAGTGTTTTTTTCCACCTTCTTCCTTACTTATAGTAACATGGTAACATACTAGTGTTTTAAAAAGCCTTTTTTAGATTTAAAAGAGCAGCATTGGAACAGGGAATACTGGGGGTTAAAAGTAGGTAAGTTTTGGAGGCAGTCCCACTGCCTGTAGCAAGGTGAATGACAGGAAATCAAATGGACCTTACTCAACGCTTATTTTTAATAAGACTAATTTTCTTGTCTGATCCTTTCACTGCCATGACAGTGCAATTTATTTCCGCAGAGAATTGCTTTCATAGGGGTATTATGAAATTTCAGTATCTTATAAATAGATGGGTATATGTAGTTAGCATCTACAGATGTTGTGGGGCAAAAATCTGGGAGGATATAATGAGTGCAAATGGGGAAGGAGGAGAGGTTTAACATGAAAGATCTGAATATTCATTCAGAAAACAAAGAAGGGAGGTGCGCAAGTATTCCTGATGTTTGACAGGAGGTTAATAACAAAGCAAGGCTAGGGTGGGAACACAGACTCCCTAGAAGGCAAACAGTGATGTATTAAAATCAGTAAAGGAAGTCAGCGAAGATCGCTTCAAGGCAGAAAGGCAAAGAGAATGGATTTTGTATTTAGTACAAAGTAGTAGCAGTTGACTTGGACTCACCATTCAGTGTCATAATGCAAAGAGCGAAACGATGGGACTGTTTTTCTTAAGTGGTAAATTGGATGTTTTAAGTGCTTGGATTGGAATTACTTCTTGTTCTCTCCTGACCCTGAAGTGGGCTTAGGGAGTGACAAATCCTTGATGAATCCAGGCAATGGAGGAAGGAAAAGTGCAGATAGGAGATGCTAAGAATTTGATGTTGGTATAGTTGATGCATATGCTGGTGTCAGTTTGTTAATGCTTTGTGCTTCAATGCCAGTTTACACTGGGCTTTTTAGATTAAAAAAAAAAAAAAAGAAAGAAAGAAACAAAATCTCTGGCACAGAAGAAATAGTTCTTTACCACCCTGAGGCTACTTTACCATGTGCTTCTGAACTCTCTTAAGTGTGTAGGCACATGAACAGATAGAGCTGGCCTTTGTTGATGGAATTCAGAGGTGAGATTTTAGCTTAACATCTGTCTGGCAAATACTTCCTGTGCATGGGTGCAGTTACTCCCTAGCAGCCCCAACAACAGCAAGTTTAAAAGATCCAGCCCATGATGGGTAAGTGCTTGTGTAGAACGTGACCGGAAAAGTTTAGGACTTCATGTTATAAAAGGGTCACTTTTTCCCCCCCAGTCTCTCAAAAACATTTATAGCAGGAGTGCCCGGTACTGAAAACAGCTTCTAGTAGTTCATATTTCCACAGATAATTATCCCATCTTGCCAGTGATGTTTAGATAGGCCTTGGCATTTTCTGTAAAGTACTGAAATTAAGTACAAGACTTTGAAATAGACTCATTGTCTCATCTAATTGTTTTCAGTTGAAGCCAGAAAATGTACTTTAGTACTGAAGCCCTTGCCAAATAATTGTAAGATCCAGATGCTTTAAAATTAATGATTGCGTGTTCTGTTGAGTCAGCTTTTTACTTTTGCAGGTTTTTAAAATTTAATTTCTTCGGAAAAATACATGATATCTGGTATTCTCAGAAAATGAACAGCTTTTGTAAAGTACAAACAACAGATATTAATAACATGTGCTGACAAAGTGCGTGTAGTAAGTCTTTACTTTTAAATAAACCTACAAGTGTCAGATAACATAAACTACTCAACACAGAGAACCATCACAGTGTATCCATTAGAAGTCTCTTACTATTAATTCAACCTTATGATTTATGGTAGTGCATACAACATGGCTAAGGCAACATGACTATATAATGTGAATGTTCTTTTTCTTCTCCTTCGCACTCCCTGCCCTGTTCCTGCAGACTATGCGCGGTATGCCCATGGGTTAATATCAGAATACATTCCTGAAGATCTGAGTAAAGAGTTGTTGAAATATTTAGGGTAAGTATCGTTCCAGCTAGCTGCTAGTTTTATATGGCATGCATTAATGTCCTTTTGGTCATTTCTGTTGAATACTGAGATTTGTTCATCAAGGTTGCGGTGAATGACACGAGATTATGTTTGCCACACTTTAAGTGTGATTTTTTCCAAATGTAGTTTATGCCTTTCTCTTGTTCCTGTGATGCTGAGGACCACAGGCTGGAGAAGAGATGTAATATATGTCTGATATGTCTGTTATCACAGTTGCATCACGAAACAGTTAGCAATGTCTCTCATTTTAAAGCAAGATGGGGAAGGAAATCCAAAGAATTAAAGCAATTTGTCCAGAATTGTCAAGCACAAGCAGCAGAGTCAGGAGTAGAATCCTCATCCCCAGTCCTCTTTCCTTCTCCCTGCTTACTCAGTGCTGCTGGGGTTCGACTTCACATATCTAACCTGTGTTAGTTTATTTTTAAGTCTGGAAGGTGAGCAAGCATCCTCATCCTGGTGTTCCCTGCCAGCAGCAGACTTTGCTTGGAGCATTATGCACCTGCCCCTCAGTTCGGTTCTGTTCAATGGGTTCTGTTATGGTGGCCTCTGGAAAAATGTGCAGTTTGCAGCTTGAAGTCCCGTAGCTTAACAGTTTCATTGAAGAGATGTTATGGGCTTTATATCATCTTACTAATAGCCAAGGTTTTCAAAAGTAAGGTGGAGTTCTCCTGTTTTGGTTGCCAGATCTAAAAACTTTTAAAAGAGCCCATGTTTCTGTGTGGTGCCTGGCTCTGTTTTAGTTAACTAAGTCAGAAGTACAGAGGCCACGAGCTGCTTTTTTGGCAAACACATGCTGTGTGTGAGCAGCTGATAACCAAAGCAGCTTTTTGTGGGGAAGGAATTGCAAGCTTTAGGTTGTGCAATCCAGCTGTCTTAATTTATAACTTAAAATCTTTTGTTCTACAGGCTCCCAGAACTTAAAAGCCCAGCACCAGAGCCACCGTTGAAGGTAGGCAAACATTAAGATGTTGACAGATACGTTGTGTTGTAAGCTAATTGCTCTGAATTATTACTAAAACTAGACTAGGCCAAGCACTGGGTACAATACAATAAGTAAGCTGGCCCTGTGAAAAACCAGTCTGAAATAACGCACAAAACTTACCAGGTACTTCATATTTTTTAATAAGGAATATTTTGTTTGTTTTCCTGTTTGAAAAAGGGGA